ATGCTAATACTGCTATATCATCTGCAAATCTAAGCATACTAATCTTTTGCCCTTGCACATCTATCCCTACAGTTGTACTGTCTTTAATGATGTTGATGGCGTCTTCGATGTATAGATTAAAAAGTAGCGGTGACAGTGTGCATCCCTGCCTGACTCCCTTCCTAATATTTACTTCTCTACGTTGCATCCCCAGCTCTATAACTGCCTGTTGCTCTTTGTACAAACTAAGTATCACTAAGGAAAAAATACCGACAATGAAATGTGTTGCCATACCCGTATAGGCAATAGGAGGCAATTTTTATAATTCATTAGCACACCTAATTGTTAATAATTATAAATCGATTGTTAATTGTAATTGGAGTTTATTTACTTGCTTAGTTTTTATTTATATCATCTTCACTTGCAAAGATTACAGTAGTAGTAGTGTGTTATAAAAAGAATTTGTTTGTTTCGATTCGGTTTGTTGTATGGATTTTAATTTACAAATATTTATGTAACGACAGATAATTTTTTATCTTATCGTGTATTTTGTAAGCGTTGACTTTCCGGTTATAAGGTATACTGTTTTATTCGAATGACCTTTAAAAAAAAATTCAACATTATTATTTACAAGTTATTAAAAATGCAATTAACTTACGTATATATATATCTTTACAGCAAATGATCATCGGTTAATGATTTAACGGAGACAAATCGATAATGATAACGTTTGTCATCATAGAAAAAAAAAAGTAAAAGCCGAAGGGTATTATACTGGCTTACATACCTGTACAATGTACATAGTTTGTTGTGTCATGTGGCATTTTTTTTAAATTATGTAACTATAAAAATAAGGAACAGTTTGTTTGCCGTGTGACAGTATAGAGTTTGTAAAGACTCAGTTTTGAAAGTTTACTTTTAATAAAAACGTATTAGAGGTTTGCCGAAAATAAACAGCAATAAAATTTCGTAGGTGTAGACTTGGTTTCTTTGAAAATACACGTAAATTATTGGGAAACTCAAATTCCAAATTTAACAATTCTGAGACGGATATAGAAGACCCATATATTTTTATAAGTGGACGTATTTCATCTAAAATTTACTTAATCCAAAAAGAATCCAAAATTTCATAACTGTTTCTAATGGAAATAATATTTTCGATGATGAAATTGCAGATTTTTCAAAAAAAACATCGTACATAAAAAGAGTCGTTAATATAAACAGATAGTATTATTCAGTGCATAAAAAATGATTTAATATACTTATATAATGTGGAAATATTCAAAATTCATTAATCCGATTCAAATACACAATAATCTGAAGTTTAACAGTCCGCACTTCCAATAATTTTTTCTATTCGAAATTTCAAAAAATTAAACTGTACACGTAATGCCTAGATTGAAAAGTAGCGGTGACAGTGTGCATCCCTGTCTGGAAGCAGTATTGACAAAACATTACTCTATATAAATAAATAAAGTAAAATAAAAATACTGGTATGCAAGGGAAGAAAAAGTGGCTGTTTTTAGATATCTAGGAAGTCAGATAAGTCAGATAAGAAAGAGCAGTAGGGATATAAAGCAGAGGATAGCACAGGGTCGAGTCGCCTTCAATAAAAAGAAGTCACTTCTATGCTCGCGAACGATTAATTTAGAAATTCCAAAAAGATTGTTGAAGGTGCATTTTAGAGCGCGGCGCTGTTTGGGTGTGAAACATGGACGGTGGACGCAGCGGAAAAGGAAAGGTTAATTGCATTTGAAATGTGGTGTTACAAGCGAATGACGAGGATACCGTGGATAGAAAACAGATATTAGAAATAATATGAGAACAGAGGACTCAATTGAAGTCAATAAGGAATAGTCGAGATAGGTT